GATCCATTAAAAGTTTTTAATTCCACAAAATATGCATAAATAAATTGACGGTGACTGATTCGTCGAGATAAATTGCAAAGCCCAAGGAAATACATGTCTGATAATGAATTTGGTGGGATAATATTTTAAAATTCTCCACTATAAATTAAAATTTCAAATGTTCAACGACTTATCGCGGCTTTATTTAGCGGTCGGCAAAAATCATACACAGAATAATTTCGAGTGACGTCTTATGGAATAATTGCTGTACATCTTGCACAAAAAATCAACATACCGCAAGAAGAAAATGTTTTCTAAAACATTATAGATATAAATTGTTCATGTTCTTATTTTCGGCTTTCGAAGGAGCGTTTTGGCTTCTTGGTGCTCCTGACGACGTGGATTGTTGTAGGCTTCCAATTAATCCATTGTTAGTGTCACAACGACGTCTTTCCTATGAAGATTAATGGCCAATTATTTCTTCATTCAGCGAACGAGTTTGACGAGCTCTATGCAAACGATATTCTTATTAAATGCCGTTACTCAGTCATAAGGAAAAATCCGAGCATAGGAACGCTTTCTTCTCAAGCCATCACGAACACATACTTGGACCGGCATTTTAATGAACAGGTTATAACAGCTAAAAGTTATTGTTTAGTTCTGTAGGAACTTGTCAGGCAAACAACATGCATACTTTATTTTTGTCTGAAGAAAAAAATTTTTTATGAAATTTTAAACTATTTTACTCAAAAAAATTTGGTAGAACTAATGCCAAAAAGTTGAGTTTTAGCATTATTGGAATTATTTACGAAATTCTCACGAAGTACAAAAAATGTTAATCTGATTCCGTTGATCGGCCCACATGCACTACAGGGCACTTCGGCTCAATCAACCCGTTACAGGAAAACAGGTCTAAATCGTCCAAAAATGCACTGCTATTCTTACCTGAATTAGAACTAATCACTCATTAAAAACTTAATGGAGCCTCATCCTAATTTATCAACAGTCTGATATGAGAATAAGTCTATAGTGAAAGCCGGAGCTTAAAAACAAATGTGAGTGAGAGGCGCATTAGCGCATGTTGCAGCGAGTAGACCTGCATGTAGTGCTGAATGTGGCGGATGGTATAGTAATATGGCTTGCTATTTAATGGAATAAATCCAGCTTCTATAAGTCGGCGATAGTTTCGAATGGTTTATTTACACATGACGGACATTGAAGTATTAACAGGCATATGAATGACTGCACACAGATTGAATTGTTGACATGTGATATGGACACTTGCTTGTGGTGGACACTTGCTGGTAATTGACTGAACACTTGCTGGTGATTGGACACTTGCTGGTGATTGACTGACACAAATGAGAATGGACTAACGTTACTTACTAACTACAAGTTACGGGACGATCCCGTATGTTACGGTCGGGCTTACGTTAGTTTCCCCGACAGTGGACGGCCTAAACTAAAACTGTTATACCTTTGTAGCAGTGATAAGATGGAGCCTTCTAGCTCAAATTAAACCATGCAATGTAGTAGGTTTATATGACTGAAATAGGCTTATGTGACTTACACAGGTTTATATGAATGCTATAGTCTTATATGACTTATGTAGGTTTATACAGCTTATTTAGGCTGGAAAGATTTTTATGACCTCTATTTCTAATGTTCACTAAATCAGGCCCAGGTTTCAATTAAGATATCATATCTAAACTTCATGTTCACTTCAAAACCAATTTGCAAAAATTCGTTCACTTCAGATATCGAAGATGAGTCAAAATTCTGAGGAAAAAGTCTACGCAATTCAGCCAAGTGACCCAAAATTCCACGTGACATAAATTGGAAAACGAAGGAAGAACCAAAATATGCAAGTGGAATCTAGCATCATTCAGACAACTTTGCTGGAATATTACTGGTTTTTACCTCAAATAATTAGCTCAGTAATAAATCAGCGTCTGGTATGTCGAATATTCGAACTTGTAGATAAAGCTAACTTCTACTCATTAGTGATGAGCTTCAGAGGTGCAGTTAACCATTGATTGCGTTATTTTATATGCACAACGTGGCTACATTGCAACACACAGAATAGAGACTTGCTGGTGTTCTAGGCGGCTTTCGAATTTCAAATGAGGATTCAAAACCTTTTTAAGGAAATATGTACATTAATTAATACGCATGTCCTTTACGAAACAACAATGCCAGTGTTATTCAAATTGAAGAACCGTTCTTAGTTATTCCTAAGAAATTCATAGTTATTTGTATTTAACGTGCTCATTCACCCAGAAAGTGCGTTATAATGTTACCTTATTTGGAACTTCTTCACCGATTTTTAGCGCATTTTCTCATTTATGGAAAAAATGCACTATTGTGCTCGCCATGTCCGTCTGTCTGTCTGTCTGTCTGTCCGTTCGTCTGTCCGTCCGTCCGTGACCTCAAGTTTTCGTCGACGAGACAATGCGCTCTCTGTCATTCACTGCAGTGAGTACTGAGTTATATTTTTTATTACTTTCATTATAAGTCGGAAACTACCATAGAACTAGAATGAAGATTGTGTCATCGCTTCTCCGATTAAAATTTAAATCCGCTGATTCCTCAATGAACTTTCCAATGAAGAAATATTCATGTAATTATTGCTTATTTATCAAATCATCCTGTTTATCAACGCATTCTATTCAAACTTCTACGAACATTCGTGAAATGAATGTACCTAATGTGCCTGATTATTCGTCTGTTTGGAAGACCGAGGAAGAAGCAAATTCTTCTGAAGTAAACTCCGGAAAGCTCCTATCAGCGGAACGACTGAAATAGCGTACCCGAGAAGTTCATCTTGTATTAACAAACAATAAATATCACATTATCTGCAGTCGTCAAATTTTTTTCCAGAAGAAATAGAAGACCAAAAATTTCTAAGAAAAATAGTGAATTTTCTTTAGTTGGTTAATCCTTGGAATACGCTTTATTCAAACAAAACAATAATACTTATTATAGAGAAGCAAGTACAAAATTAATGAAAAATCCTTTTTGAATCTTTATTACCCGTTATTTTCTAAGTTGGTTGTAACTCATCGCTAGTGCAGGAAAAAAGTCGGTGATAATAGGGTGCGTATCAACCGAAGAAAGTTCGGTGGCAGCCCTGTACAATGGCGTACATGTCAGCCACACCAATTTAGGTGACAGCCGAGCGCGTGTCAGTCAACCAAATTTTACTGGTGACAGGTGCGTGTCAGTCAAATAAATTTCGCTGGCAACAAGTGTGTGTCAGTTAAATGAAATTCGGTGGTGACAACTTGTTCATTATTATTCAATTCAAAGAATTTTTCCACGTAGCGCAAATCAGGGACGAGACTTGGAAGCGCTCTGTGTTCGTCGACCCCCTACAGATAGCTTAGCTTCGACAGCCTCGAGAGCCAGAACCACACCCTGAAGATAGGGAATTACTGGTGAGCTCTCTAGGGCATTGAGGAAATACCGAGACCCACCCAAATACAGCGTAATCATTGCCTGCTCATCGGACGCGGATGGTGCTGAGCCGAAGAGAGCAGTCCGCCTCATATTCGATGGAGGAAGACCTCCGCTCTCTGACGCATGCGCGGTGCGACTGTGCGCCGCATGGATGCAGCAGGGCTACGTGCCGCGTCAATGTTAGTTGCCCATGCTGCTGAATGATGCGTTGGCAGCGGAGGCGTGCGAGGGTATCTGCAGCCCACGAAGCCCTGCCCACAAGGTGGAGTTGTTCGCTCACACCAAAACAAGCTGTAGCGTTAGTAATCAACATTGAACCCATTGCTATAGAAGATCCTTACACTGCTGGATTACTTAATGCTCTTCATTTAGATGTTTGATTTTATGAAACTGAACCATGATGGTCGAAAATAGTCACTGGTAGAGACGTCGGACACAAAATTTTCGAGGTGAGCGAAAAGTTCGGTCGTTATAGAGTTTTCTAAATTTAGCGACCGGTCGCGCCAGTTCATAAGGCCTGAAAAGCATGCACTTCTGATGGAATCTGAGCCTTAGCAGGAAGCGAGAACAGCGTTCTGGTTCTCTCCGCAGTCATTGGCCCGGGCCTGATCTCAAAATTACACTCCTGGAGCGGCTTCACATTCAGGAACCTGGCGTTATGAAAAGCCTCCCTCCCAAAATTATTAAATCTAGCGCAAAATTTTTAAAGCATTCATTGTAAACGAGCTTTATACAGCTACATGTTTACTCAAAGCATGTCGGTTGACCTCGTGACCAAGCTATCTGTGAACCGGAAGTTTGTGAAGATTCATCGAAGAGATGACCACTGAACATCCTGGAGGTGGTGGTGGTGGGGGTGGTGTTGGTGGACGTGGTAATGGTGGTGAAAAAAAAGATTCATGAAGGCGAGCCAGCGCCTTGTTGACCATTAGTCGATGCAGCAAAATTTTGGTCGGTCTAAACACTTGTTCCTGTGCTCTATTTCCTGCTCTTGTTCTTGTACAAAAATTAATTTTCAAACTACATTAGTGAAAAATATGAATTTACAAGGAAACTTGATATTCGCTTCTTCATTTACATAGTTAATCAGACCATAAGATGAGAAATTACAGGCCATTATTGCAGCAGTTGGGACGTGGAACTATGTCCCTGAAATTTGTTAAACCAATACGAACACGCATTATTATATCTTAAAGCCGAAATTTACACACTGTTTATCTTCAGCGCAACTGGGTTAGCAAAAAAATAAAATATTTCTTAGTGCTATCCAGCGTTACAACTACAAAGAACATTTTCCAATCAAGAATATCTAGAATTACACTACATTATTACATTATATTGTTAAACTACAAAATTGCATCCTGAATACAGTACAACCTTAGCCCAGCCAGGATCGCTGAGGCACCAGACGAAGAAGACGTTCAGCTTTGGGCGAGGCAGCGGCGGCAGAGAGGGGTGAGGCTCGCCGCTGGAGTCCATGCCTTCACCTGGACTGCCGTTGCCGCCGCTGCTGCGGATGCCAGTGATGGTCCGCTCTTCAGTGCAGGGCAAAGGTAGTGTGGTTGAGGGCGTCATGCAGAGCAGCAATCGTTGTCGGACGCTGTGACTGGCTGCTGCTGCTGCTGCTCTCCTTTCCTAACTAGAGAGCCTTGGTCGACACGCCTAGCGAGGGTTACTCTACTACAGTCCTAGATGCTCTCAACGTTATTGATAACCAACGTGGAATGAAACATTGAATAAAAATACGTCCAGTAAAGTGATTTTGTGGTGGAATAAATAACTGGTCCCGTAATGTTGAACATCTGAGCCTGACAATTCTTATCAGGACCGTGAGTGTAAGTGATTCGGACCTCTGGATGCAAATAAATAAACGGAATGTCGAAATTCAGTGGCCCAATCACGGAAGAAATACAGTGAACATTTCAAAAATTCATACATCATATCATGAGTCCTACCTCTCTTTAAAATATTTGAACTTTTTTAAAGGTACGTTGAAGTGTCAACAAGTACAATAATTTTATTTTTTTAATTTTAAACTCGTAATTACTGATCAGTGATGAAAACTCATGATGAACCGGTGTAATTTATCCTGGTGCGACATCAAAAATACTTTATTCCTGGTGTAACGAAAGAATGGAATCCAAGTGAAGTCATACATCTTTTCAAAATTAATTTCCGCAGTGACATCTGCCACCCAAATACTGAAGTATGATCAAGGTTTCCTCGTAAGCAGAGCATCAACAGCTAACTGGAATGCATTCCATGTCAATAAAAAGGTGCGTACAAAACATTTTTGTGAGAACATTCATGTATCAAGTGTATTATTTTCAGTTTAGATATATTGTATCGCTTATGCCTAATGTATATCGTAAACCAGTGTTTGTTTCATAAATATCTATATTGATGCTTAGTAGATAAAAAAGTTCGACGTACAGTGCGTTAGCACGAACGTTGTTATTCTGAATACATTGTAATTAAAAAACAATTGTTATAACGTTTACCCAAATGGAAATTTTATGAATGCTCTCCTAATAAGGTTAGCCAAAGAAAACATTCCCTTGAGATACGAAACTCTCATGTTGGTAAACATGTGCAAATTTCGAGCATGTAGTCCATTCAAACTCGGCTAAGTAAGCAAAATAATATCATCTTAAAAAAAGTGCTTATAAGTAGAATAATTTTGTGAAACCATTTAAATATTTTCAAATACGCCGCTATCATAAAATCATTTCGGGAAATTCTGCTGAAATTCTGCGACTGATATTTATTTCATTTGCGTTTATTTAATAACTTTTCTATTTACCTTTATTTATCTTTGATAGTCACTGTCTGATGAAGAGACTCAACTAAATCATTTTGTATATTCACTTATTCAGGATGGATGCATGTGAATTGTGTATAGGTAATCTAAACGCTCAGTAGAAACCGATCCACTAGATGTTAAAATGTTAAGTAATTCTTCGTAGAACTAAATTTTCCGCACATGCATGTTGACAACAGAGTAGAATCCCAAGGAAATTTAATCATGTTTCTCAAATATTTGTATGTTACTAGATATACGCATCTTATTATTTTCACGGAATAAATGATCTGACAACAATTATCTTGAGAAGGTAGAACATCAGATCAAACGGTTGAAGATGTCAACCATCTAATACAAATGTATTTTTATCAAAGAAAAATGTGGTTCTTCCTTTAATATCCCGTATTATTTCTTTTATATTGACTATGATATGTGTCTATAATCTGAAATAAAAATTAAAGAGTATTAATAATCTATTAATTGATTTATAAATGTAATTGAGAAACATACAGTGCAAATTCTCACACACAGCTCATTCACCGCGGATTTAGTGATCCTTGATTTAATTATAATTGTCAAACATAATCACACAAAAGATGTTATGCAGCCAGTACGTACAATTGCCTATTTCAATAATATAAAGCGTCTCAGTTTTTTCTCCCTCTTGGTCAAAACATTTTTCACTTTCTACCCATACTGTTTACTTCAACTGCTTAAAAAACTGTTCTGAAGTCTTAATTTCAATACGAGTTTGCCGTCCATCAAGCCTTGTGTGCCTTGCTTCCCGGTCCTGCAACTCGAGCTTTGCGGTTCCCCGAGACTCTCTTTTTGGGCCCAAATGCAATGAGTTGTAGCAAGACAAGCGATGATACAAAGTCTATTTGAGGAGAAGTTGGCCATCAGTTAGCGTAAAGGATCCTAACGAGGTTTACAAGGCATCCAAGAAGAACTTTATTTTCTTAAACGTGTTGCATTTTAGAGCCGAAATGACGCTCAAACTCCTCTATATTGCACTAATTTACAATGCTTTTTAATTATTTTGGATAATAGTCTGCTATTGTTTAGATTCAATGAAGATTTCAGTAATTTAAATCAATTAACGAATCATGCAGTGGCAATATTGGAGACCTTTATATTATAAATTTATATTATTTTATTTTTTTTACCATTTACGGTTAAAATTTAGCTCAAAAAACTCATAACTTAATAATCCTGAAAGAAAACACACAATTCTGACTCAACGCTTGGCATTTCTTTATGATCATGGGATTCCTACGCATTAATGATTCATAAAACCATAAAAAAATGCAGAATGATTATTTAATACAATAATTTACCGACACCAAAATCCAACGTTTCCGACACATTGCCTAATTAAATAGTTGAAGGTATCAATGCAGTACAAATCGTTTAAGCTCTTTATTCTGATTAAAAGACTTGAAGTTGCATAGTCTTGGACAGATTGGTTTCTTCCATAAATGTTCTTTCTATGAGAATTGATGAAGTTGCATATTCTTGGATAGATAGTTTCCGCTTCCTTAAATGCTCGTTCTATGAGCTTTCAGCTTTGATGAACTAGTGTTGTCTTGGATAATTTTTTTTATTAATGTTGATTCTATGAACTTTGATGCAGTAGTGTTGTCTTAGATAGATAGTTCTAGCTTCTCTAAGTGTTCGTTCCATGAGATTTGAAGAAGTTGTGTTGTCTTGGATCGATAGTTTTCGCTTCCATAGATGTTCGTTCTATAAGAATTGATGCAGTAGTGTTGTCTTAGATAGATAGTTCTATCTTCTCTAAGTGTTCGTTCCATGAGATTTGAAGAAGTTGTGTTGTCTTGGATCGATAGTTTTCGCTTCCATAAATGTTCGTTCTATAAGAATTGATGCAGTAGTGTTGTCTTGGATAGATAGTTCTAGCTTCTCTAAGTGTTTGTTGATGAAGTTGTGTTGTCCTGGATCGATAGTTTTCGCTTCCATAAATGTTCGTTCTATAAGAATTGATGCAGTAGTGTTGTCTTGGATAGATATTTCTAGCTTCTATAAGTGTTCGTTCCATGAACGTTGATGAAGTTGTCTTGTCTTGGATAGATAGTTTTCGCTTCCATAAATGTTCTTTCTATAAGAATTGATGAAGTTGTGGCTTGGATAGATAGTTCTAGCTTCTCTAAGTGTTCGTTCCATGAACGTTGATGAAGCAAGCGAGCGGTCATCCTTCCTTTGTGTCCCGGGAGCGCCCCGCCCTTTGGAAGCGAGCCCTGGAAGGAATTTGCGTAACCTTGATGTCAGAACGCTTACTGGCTGCCTCATCTTAAATGCTGTAACATCCTGTGTTTTTACAAATCTTGCATAATTACGCGCAGCCTTGATGTCAAATTAATCAACGTATATTTGGCAAGCTGCATGTAACAGTCAGTTTAGTACGACGATTATGAGACACTTTGCTAGCCTAAGCGGCATATGAACAGTACGTTGTGTCCAATAGCAGCAGCATTTAGCTGTATGCTGTAGTATATAACAGTAGCATGCAAAAGTATGCTGTATCCAATTAATAGCAGCAGCTGTATGCTGTATCCAATAGCAGCAAAATGAAGTTGTATACTGATGCATATAACATAACATAACATAGTGATGTCGGCGCTGAAGAGTAGGCCTGATGTGGCCTGTCGCTGATTCTTGAGCTAAAACAGTAGCATGCAACAGTATGTTGTATCCAATAGCAGTATAATGTGGCTGTATACTGTAACATATAACAGTAGCATGCAACAGTATGCTATATTCGATAATAGTAGCATGTACTAGTATACTGTAACATATAGCAGTGACATGTACTAGTATATGTAACATATAGCAGTATCATGTAGCAGCATTAGCACTGTAATGAGCAGAGTAGCTGGCGCGCAAGCAAGTCTGTTGAGCGGCAGGCGGTAGCCAGCGGGCAGCAGCAGCCTGATGCGTGCCTGGGCGAGGTCAGGCTGCCGAAAGCAGAGCGAATAAGACCACGGGTCGCGCACGCCCCTTTTCGCATAAGCATTTTTAGCGCATTTTCTCATTTATGGAAAAAATGCACTATTGTGCTCGCCATGTCCGTCTGTCCGTCCGTCCGTCCGTCTGTCTGTCCGTCCGTCCGTGACCTCAAGTCTTCGTCGACGAGAAAATGCGCTCTCTGTCACTCACTGCAGTGAGTACTGAGTTATATTTTTTTGCATCTTTTGCATTCAAATTTCTTTCTTCGCCTGCTATAGACAGACGAATTGAGTATTTAAAATGAAATGAAAAGGAGGAAATATTTCTTAGACTGCTTAAATTATCTGTTCAAGTTAGAATAGAAATGATAAAATAAAATTCTTTGGCACAATATTGCCCTTCATCTCTTTCTCACACGAACAACAATCGCGTTCGCTCAATTATCTGTATTACTAACAAGGGTACAATTAAATTCCATAATTTCTCCAGATGTACGATTTGAAATCTAAATTTTAATTCTACTTGAAAATTTAAAGTAAGTGAAACAATTCACACTTACTTAAAGGAAGTAAGTGTGAAATTACGTTTTTTTAGATTGAAATTTATTTTCATTTAAAACTATATTTTTAGATATAAAATAGTGCACGATTATCCTGAAATATTTTTCCTGCAACAAAAAGCTTCTATCATTAACAGCTTTTCTCGCTGAATTGAACTATGCAAAACTCTTATGGCTAACGGAAAGCAAATTTTCTCGGAGCAAAGCCCAAGAAATTCCCGATCGATCTTATTTACGCGAAAATCTTGCAACTTGCCAACGCAAAGCTATCAGAATCACCCGAACATGGCGAGGTATCGTCTTTTATTTTGTACGGCAGATCTTTGCCATCACTTTCTCTGCGCTCTGCAAGAATCACCAAAGTAAACTCAAAAGCAGATCTCACTAATTTGTGCCGACGTCACTACCTCTACAGACAAACGTACAACGCAAATACCAGTGGCTAAAAAATTAACTTCGCCGCACCGAACATGCGCAAATTCACAGCTTGCTCGAGATGTGTTAAAAGTCTTTTAAAATAGAGCAAGGGGATTTTTTCGTCAGTTGCCTAGCGATAGATTAAAATTAATTTCTTGCCATAACTTTATGGAGTATTAATTTTAATCTTCATATTTGTGTGAAATTTAGTTTTTAAGCTCTAGGTTCATATTAATTTGAATTAACACGAATACGTCGATGAAACGAAACTAATATTTAATTAAGTCGGCACCTGTAACGGGTTTGGATATTTTGCTTATCATCACAAGGGCGCCATAGTTCTCAAGGATTCAAGTAAATTTACCCAAACAAAAACGAGTTAATCGCTTCTTTTATTGTTTTTAAATGAGGTGGCTGATTGAAGCTCTTTTACCGAAGCTAATCGGGTAATGCGTTAGGCACCTAAACTCGACGCACACTCTTGATCATCGAGCACAGATCAGTCCAGCTTAGGAGTTGCGTCAGACCTGACGATGATCAGTGAGTCCGGTCTAATGGAAGTGAAGTCAAGGCATCATTCAATAAAACATTAAAGCCTAGGAGTGCACAGTCAAACAGTCGTGCTATGAGCTGAACAAGGTCAGCTGATGAGCTCACTAAATGGTATGGAGGTATCAAGGATACAAGTCATGTCCATAATAGGGCAGCTGTTCGGTAATAGAAGCGTAACGTTGACGTTCTCCTCCACTTTCGCTGGCTTAGGAACATCACCTATGTTGTCTGTGCCAAGGTTGTGCCCCGCCCTTGCTGTCGTGAGCGCACAAACAAGGAACAATAATGGACACTGGACAGTGGAATCCACCAACACCCAGTTTTACTTTCTTCGTCTTCGTATTGTTGATTGGCTTTGAGTCTGCAAAAGTGTGTAATTTTCTGCTCATGGCTGCAACTTTGTCATGAAAAATTATTTGCTAGAGCGCCAGTTTAGCATATATTCAAGAAAACAATAACTGTGCTAAACCTTCACGCCTTAGTTTTCCGAACAGAAAACCTTATGGTAATTGTTTCGACAGATTTTATTTTGAATCGATTTCGGGATTAAGCACAACTTCTGTAAACCCTTCAAGGAAATTGTATTATAGATATAATGTAATGAATTATATTTTCTTATTGTAAAAAAAAGCCTGTCCGGTAGTGGGAAATCGCTTTGGCCTGCAAGCAGGCCATGAAGTTATAGAATTCGAAGGCGTGATCTTGGTAAGGCAAAAAAGTAGGATCGTCTGACGCTTGAGTGGCGGCGCTGAAGCTTGACCTCATCGTTGCGGCCCATCTCTTGGCCAACTGAACGTCTTGAGGGAGTCACGATCAACTCAAACGTTCAGTTGCGATTTATTGGAGCATCCTCAAACTTCTCCTAACCAGAATGATATTTCTTAATTTAATACTGTAGTTGGTCACGCAAAAATTTCGTTTTATTTTTCAAGTGCGCTCGGCAGTCACGAGTCCAGGCCTTATATGAAGTGCATTTCCTTCTATCCGGATGAGGAGGGAGAGACTGGAATACCTTCGTTCCATGGGATCAAATTCATTAATATGAACTTTAAACTTGCACGAGAGTATTTTTTAGAATTAATTCTTGATGTTTTCATGTTATGTAAAGTTTGTAAAACGATACACATGTTCTTCCTAGCGACATTGATTGAATGACACAAAACACGCTGGACCTCCAGTCTAGCGTGTCGTTCTATGGAGAATAAATACATTGCGATTAGTATTCAAGTACACCAAGTAAAATGAATACATTTTTCGTGCGAATGCGTTGTACAACGACCAATGAAACTCTCAATGATAGTGAGAACTTTTCCACATCATTTACGATATCATTCATGCAACATTCAGAAGAAGAGCAACAAATAATTCCGTTTTTGTATGATGAATCTCCCTATTATATAAGGTTCTCGATCTCACATGATTAACGTGTGAGTTCAATTGAGTCAAATGAAGAAATTTAGTAGAAGAAATAAAAAAATTTCAAATAACAAATCTTAAATTAAAGAAAGAAGTACAAGCGCTTTTACTCGTTTAAAGGCCAGCAATAGAACAGTAGTCCTTGAAGAGTCTAATCGACTCCTTGGAGCTCAGGCCTGAGGGCATACTGGGAACTGTCACGTCTTGGCGGGCTGAATATCAGCCTCGATGTCCACGCTAATGCGATGAGCATTTTTGTTTGGTTCAGTCACCGATCGAAAATGGAATCTTGATCATCAGAGAAAAAGGATAGGGGCCTCGGTAATTTACGAGATTACCGTCAAGATAGAAGGGATGACTAGTATAAACACGACTTCGTCTTTGAACGTATTTGACCCTTCATTAATTATGCAATGAGATGTATGGATTTTTTGTGTTAAGCTTAAATTTTCTCCTGTTACTATTCACACTCAATACATTAAAACACTGCTAGAACTCTACTTTATTTTGGGCCAATGGCATACAGTCATGATACAGATATAGAGTTTTCTTCTGTTACTGACGCAAACGTCTGCTAATAGACCAACTTGTAAACGCAACCCTGTTCATAGAAATTGGATCACATGTCGTATTAATTATATTTTTGAGGTACTAGAATCACGTATTACTAAATCTCGTTCACAAATAACGATAATATTCAATGTTTTCTTATACGTGCTACTTATTGGTCGGACTATTAATAGAAATTCCGTGGGGCCATCATGCACAAGATATGAGTCCGCCTGAAGTTCTAGGGTGCTCACGGCTATGTCGGGAATTCGTGGCTCGGTCGCTACTAGGATCCGAGGGCTGGAAGGGAGCTCACGTTGTACGAGGTGTGGCGAGACATAGTCGTAAAGCGAATGGCGTTCACGATTGCCGACCAACTTAATGACGCTATCGGTCCTGTGAGAGGTCACGCGCTGACCTCATCTGATCCTCGGCACGCCCTGCGCCGACTTCACGCTCAGCACAAATGTCAAAGTCACCAATGCAGAACACTTCTTGCCGAAAGCGGAGATTGCCTTCGGTAAAATATACTGCTTGATTCAAAACTTGGCTATTTTACGGATACAGTGCTTGATATGAGCCGATTTTATCTGAAAGCAGTTCGTTCTCGTCATTGCAAAACATAAATTCCATCAGCCTTCTAAGTAAACATTTGTCTTGAACTTGAACGCAGCAAGTCCTTGAGAGAGCTTTTTCAAATCACACGCGATATATAAATTTTATCTGACAACATTATGCATTGTTTATAATATTAGCTAAGTCGTTTATCTAACCGTTTTTATTTCCTCGTTCCAGACCCTGATGTTGCTGTCCGACACAACTCGTAGTAGCTCCACCATGCCCACCGCTTCACCGCCCTGCCCAGGGCCAGCAATTGCTTATCTGCACACCGACCATAGGAGGACATTCCCAACGGCAGTTTACCCAAGATATTCTCCCCAGCCCCCAGTAAAATTACCCTACACACACCTTGCTGCGGCACTAACGAGACCGGCCGGCCCATCTCAGCCAAGACCCATCACCCAAGTTGTTTGGAAACCAATTGAAATAGGAGAAAACGCGATGGTAGTTGCCCAAGCACATCCACTCTTGAACTCCCCAAAGCCAGCATCAGCGTGTCCTGATTTTAGAAGTACGTATTATTCTATTCAGTCGAAGCAACATGACGCAGGTGAGATCGAGATGCGATCCAATAATGCAGATATTCCTTTCGATTTGTCTACCCATAATAGAGAAGCCACAATGTCTCCCGCCGCCTTACCGCTGGACCTTTCAGACGCTCAGCAACCACTGGATTTGAGAATGGATCATAAAAAACGTCCTTTTATCGAGGATGAGAATAGAAACGTCATCGATAGTTGCGCTTCGCCAGAAGCCAAAAATGCAAGACCGAACTCCAGTGGACCGTGCGAATCAAGCAAGAAAATTCTTTTATGTGCACAAGCGAGTCTTGTTGCAGTACAGCAACCATCGCCGCATTCAGTTACAGTTCATGCAGCAAATGAAACCAAAGTATCAATCTCTGCCGCAGCCAATCTCTCCAACGACCAGAAACAGACTAATGATCAGTTTGACTCCTCGCTAACCATTAATCCTCCTCAAAATAACTTTTCCCACACACCCCATATCAGTAAAGGTCAGGAAAATAATATATCTTCCATGCCCGCCTCATCAGTGGCAAACAGAAGCCACGTTCCTGTAACGGCATTGAGTCCCGTCATATGCCCAACTCCACTTCGACCGTCGTTAAGCCAAGCGACATCGCATCCAAGCCATTACCTACACGCAAGTCATTCGAAGCCACCGTCAACGACGTTGCATTCAGCACCTCTTGCTCTGGGCAATAGGCCAAGTGTTTATCAGTTTTCCCAACCACCTGCCTCTATGTGCCAGAGAAGTCCGCGGCCCATGAATACGAATCACATTCATCCTGTAATGTATCAGTCCATTGCAGATAAACCGCCTAGAATGTTGTCGTCAGGCGACGTTTCCTCTCAAATCCCTCCAGCCCGCTCTAGAGAAAGATATTCATGCAAGTTTTGTGGGAAAGTTTTTCCTAGATCGGCTAACTTGACGCGACATTTGAGGACACACACGGGTGAGCAACCTTATAAATGTAAATTTTGTGAAAGATCGTTCAGTATATCATCGAATCTTCAAAGGCACGTGCGTAACATTCACAATAAAGAGAAACCGTACAAGTGTCCTTTATGTGAGCGGGCTTTTGGTCAGCAAACTAACCTCGATCGTCACATGAAAAAACACGAGTCCGATGGTCCCACAATTTTAGACGGAAGCCCTCGTCGCTACCGAGTACGGGCGTCGTCTCCAAAGCCTGCAAATTCTATCGGAACTCCTTCGTCGCCAAGCACTCCGGTGGAATGCGTGGACTCCTCTCCATTGGATGACGAAGACGAAGAAGATGAATTTATCGATGTTGAGGAGGACGAAGAAGAACCTTCAGAGAAAATTGAAGAACAGATCTCGATGGCTGTAACGATTCAGTCTGCGACTGACTCCGTGTCAGCCAGCGCGGACGCTAATGACAACGGATCTCTGTCACCTCGTATATCAGTTGTAGCAACTTAATGAAAATCATTTCATTTCATGCAAACATAAAGCATAATTTAGCACCCCGAAATGTATGTGTCAATAATATAATTGAATTGTTAAAAACGAAACATTTTATTTTTTTAAATATTTTAACGGTTGAGCAACGATTGCTATGAAGTTAAATAGTTGGAAATTATTTTAATATTATGTTCAAATACAGTTTTAGTGTTAATGTAAGTATAGTTGTGAGTGCTTATCCTGCCATAGTATAATCTAGTTGAATATTTACTTTGATAGAATCAATGCTTGTGCAATGCCTATAGAATCGATGCTGGTGCAATGTAACTGAGTTGCAATGACTAACAGCTACCAGCTCTACTTGTAAGGGCGGGTAAAACAAATGCCTCCTAAAGGAGGCATCCTGGGCATTCACGACCCTAAAAACGATCGCACAATCGTCGTAAAATATTCGCGTTATTTAAGCCTCTAGACTTGTTATATTCATGAAAAAATTGAACGTCCATTAAATTTAGCCTCTTTTCAGCTGGTCTCGCATGCACGATTGAAACTTCTACCGAAGAATGTACTATTTTCTTTCCTCATGTTCACCTCGGTGTCTTGGACTGTTTAAAATGTAACGCAAATACGTATCGTGTGAAATATTCAATTCTGGACATTCATAACTGAATTGTTATTCAAAAATGTTCATTAAATTTACTCTGATTGGGGTGCATTTTGTCCATTAGCCCTGCTATGACTTCAAACCGCAATTTTTACGCCCATAGGTAACTCTAAGATTCCATTCTAGTCATGTTTGAAGTTGTGTTATTGGTCAATGTGAATGTTGATTTATAAGCAAAATGGTTCATATTCATATTATACTGTTGAGAAAGATTTAGAGATTATACAATTATAGATGAGAATACAAATATAAATAAAATCTCCAATTATGCTTTGTATGCTATCTAACCCTATGATGAGATTCTAAATTCCTTTTTTGACAAAAAAGATTATTTGCAGCAGCACTGATACCAGCATCATCCAGTTGAAAAAAAATCATGTGCTTTTCTAGCAGAACTTGCTGCAAAAATTTTTTATTTGAAGGGAACATGTTCTTTATTAGCGACACTGGCTAGAGCATCTTTAATTTGAAGGGAACATTTTTTTTATTAACGACACTAGCTAGAGCATCTTCTATTTGAAGGGAACAAATACTTTATTAAACAAATACTTATTTTTGAAGGGAACGTGTTCTATATTAGCGGCACTGGCTATAGAGCATCTTATTTTTGAAGGGAACATTATTTTCACTGTCAACACTTGCTTGTAATTTTGTAAGCTCTTCGGATGATGACATTCGAATAAAATCCAAATTCAAGATTATATTTTTCCCGCACTTCATTTATAAATTAAAAAAATAAGATCGCGTTCTCTGGCCAATGAGCCATAAAAATCGACACTTTAAATTGGATTCATGATAAGCCAGCTAACTTAACTTTTCAGTACCCTCAAAAACGAAAAATCAAAAAAAAGGGCAGACGGCAAGAGTTGAATCTGACGAAAATAGCTATTACGGTCAAGCTGAATAAGAAGCTTTTAGTAACAGAGCGTCTTCGGAAATTAAAACCGGCATCATGGATCACATTCATAGAGAATTTTAAGAACATCAAGATACATGTGCATGGCTGTGCATATATTTTGCTAGAAATTATTCGAGATATTTCCATCTCATCAAGATAATATATACCAACTCAACTCCGGTTTTACTTAAGCAAATTTTCATGTGTTTGAGACAGAATTCTCAACAGGTCATTGATAAAGAAGATTTAGTTGTTGAAGATTTAAATGCCATAATGTCTTGAATTAGCTTAATACTCGAAAAGACTCAAAATGTACGCATAAAATTACTAAGCAAAAATTTTTTTCTCTCATATCTCTGCGTACGACATTATGTGCTCAAAGACGTTCCTAGGGTTGACCGAGAGTCCGAGAGTCCAGCCCAGCCGTGATCTTTGAACTAGGAAGATGAGTCCTTGATATTTTGAACTTCTCCGCGCGTGCGGAAGATCGCGAGATTCCAGGGTGTTGTCCCAAGCACAAAACTCGCCCCGACCTTAATTAAGAAACTTTTTTCTTTTTTTTCTCGTGCACATCTAAACGCTGCAAAATTGTTGCGATGATGAAATACTTAATATTCAAACTATATTTTACAATAATTATGCAACTGACGGATTTTTGCAAAATGTCGCAGTTTTTGCATAACGCTAATAGCGCTCCTAAAAAATTGTCTTTGTCTTTCAAATACCATAAAACGTTCCAGACTACAGAAACCATCCAGAACAATATAAGCGCAGAAAATTTCTTCCTTCTCTGAAATCTGCAAGTTCTGGAATCGTTTAAAGCGCTCCAGAATCAGTATATTAACTCGCTCGTTCCCATGAGGAAAATAAACTCGAATATTATAATAGACTCGCATGCCACAAATGCCAATCATAGTGAAGTGAAGCATGACCACGAAGAACAAGAAGCTGTCTGTCACAAATAGCGCCGGCAGCAGAATACATTGCTCGCCTCAGTGTCGTACATGCGATAGATTGGGCTCAAAAGTTCGGAGAAACTTTTACCGGTTTTTAGGCTTGATTTTTTACATCATCATTTGTAACGTTCGACGAACGCACACAAAACCTTGTTAGTTTCATAAATGGCAGACATGATAGCGGCTACAATAGCCCAGAAAATCTCTCGGTCATAAAAATGTGGTCTTCGTTGGCCATCATGAATATAATAGCACATCAAGTTCCTTATGATTATCGAATTAATTTTTATGCCATTACAACAGACGCAACATCGATCACAGCTGCAGGACGGAATCGAAAGCTACTCGACATGCGTATAATCAACCACAAAAACAGCTTTCTTTCATTCATTGGGCTAAGATGCAAAAATTCATACACAATTTCATTCATTCAATTTTCCACAAGCGCACTAATTTCCGACAGCTAAACTTACCATCCAACTCAAGATGATCGGGAAGAAATTTAGCATATTTTTTAAAATAAACGCCGTTGAATTCAAATTCATGCGTACTAAGCGATCTAAAATATTACTCTCCGTGATTCCTGTCTTTTGAATAGTGAACGAATTTTTTACTGAGGCATCGCCTCAGTGAATTTTACATTGCCAGTCGCTGGCTAAATATTGTTCACTGACGGCTTACGATCGTCAGCAAGACTCCTTATCGTCAACTAAAATATAAGGTAATTTCATGTAGATTGTAGAGTTTTAGTTAATTGTGATTTAAATATATCATCTTAGTTTTCAGAAGAATTTTTAGGCACTTCCCTATCGTTCATTCATTTAGCTTCAGCTCTCTGCATTCATTGCTAAAAATGAAATAATATAAGGACCCTTCATTTTAAAAGTTCCCAAGGCGAGTCTGACACGATGGCATGAACGCATACAACTCACTTAACGATTACCGAAGACAATGCAGAACGGACATGCTGATCTGCTGTCAGCCTCACTGTCAAGAGCTGACAGTGAGGCTCATTTTATCAGTCAGGCAACAGGGCATCGGCGTCTAAAATCAAGAATATTAAAGACACAGTTACGACCACACTGAAGAGTTGGAAATATTTTTGATATTCTTTGAGTTTAGCACTAATAAATCTTCAAATTTGGAAACACGACATGTAGAAATTGTCATAAACTCTAGATTTCCAGCATAATTTTTCTATTCTTTGAATTAATCTTAAATTTTCAAAACAAATTTACGATTTTAATCTCCATAAACAGGATTTTAGTTCAATATATGAGCCGTTAAAGACCCAGAATACCAACTAATTAAAGCTAAAGCTAACTTTTGAGGACCCGGCGTCATGAGCAACTCATTAGCGAAAGTTTATTTAAGAAACTCTTTTATGTTGTGTTTGTGTGACTTTTTTTATAGTCATTACATCACTTTAATATCTATAGATAACCTAAAAGATACTTTTCTAAAGGATTCATCTTCTCCAATAAATGCTCTAATAGCCTGATAGCTATAAACAACAATTTTTCTTGTGGTTGATAACTATAATATTAATATATCTGTACACCAGATGCACAAAATAATTGATAATTGGTAAAATAAGTGCGTTAAACGTTCGTGGCTAACAAATACTTAACAAAAGATAACAGAACTCATACGACACTAATATAACATAACTCATCCAGTCAAATTACGGACCAGGCAATAAGTCCAGCGGCTATCGCAATCAATCGTCAGTTATGGAAAGATCGGGTTCCAAAGGCCGGATCCCTTGTGAATCAAGCCACGAAAAGTATAAGAATCGGCAACAGGCCATGGGCCTATTTCTTCAACGCCGACACTTCTATTCTATTCTATTCTAAGATCAACTCGTGCGTCTGTGTCAGAAGTCAGTCTGGCCACTGTCTCTCTTTCACTTCATCCTAAGAAACGAATCATTCATCACGCGCTGTTCATATAATCACATGCTTCGTTGCCGGTAACATGGAGTTTATTCGACCCTCGTTTTCAGATCGGGCGAAAAAATGGGACACCGTCATGCAATGCCAATGAATAATTGTTAATTTGTAAAATTTATGGCCTAACTGTTAGCTAAATCTGACAGCTAGCGAATATTTCGTCCATCATATTTATGAAGTCCCATAAAACATCACATGCTCTGCCAGGTAATAGAATCGATAGTGCCCTAATTTGTTGCCTTTCTAAGTTTCCATGCCAGCAACAGGTTTCAAGAAACCGCGTAAGTTGTTAACGACTTTAGAGCGCAATTCTTAGCTGTTCACCTAAACAGGATCTCTAATTTATGGCATCTTCCAAAAATTCCTCAGTCGACTCCAAAGCCAACAGAGGTATTATACGCCACTCAGGTAGCCGGTGGAAGTTACGCAAAAAATGACGTTGTGGACACGTTTGCTTCTACAGTGAAGTCTCAACTTATAGTGGGGATGAGCTGACAGTTTTCTGATTTTATAATTTTTTACCATATTTAAGGAGATTTTTATAATACGGTTTTAGAGAACGTCAATTAATATAGAAACTTTTTACGATATCTTCCACACATTTTTAGCGCATTTTCTCATTTATGGAAAAAATGCACTATTGTGCGCGCCATGTCCGTCTGTCTGTCTGTCTGTCCGTCCGTCTGTCCGTGACCTCAAGTTTTCGTCGACGGGAAAATGCGCTCTCTGTCACTCACTGCTGTGAGAACTGAATTATATTTTTTTATTATTTAACAATGGCAGATACAAGTTTCAGACGAAACATGAATTTTCAAATAGATTTCTAAACTTTTGTCATTCGAAAGAAGTATGCAATCATTTCGCTCGGGCCAAACATTAAACATCACCAGCGAGGTTATAACTAAATATTAAAATGAAAACAAATGTACAATAGGACCTAAAGAGTATTAGAGTATTTAGAGCTAAAGGGTATTGAACATCCTCGTACTTCAAACAACTTAAAATTCAAAAGCATATGAAACGAAAAGTATATTAAGCATATTTTCATCATATCATTCATATGCTATTCAATTCTTATTGGAATTTCGACTAAAGAAGGCCTATGACATGTTTCAAATGACATTGTGTGGCAAAAACTAATGGCCACTACGACGTACCAACAAAAACTTTGAATAGTTAGAAAAGTCTCAACACCACCAAAAGTACACGTATATTTTTACATTTACACAATGAACAAAAATGAAAGGGCAATGTTTATTTTATGGCGCTCGACAGTGGCTCCAAGTTATTAACCTGCTAAGTCCTTGCATAGTTGGGAAGATGCGCAAACGGCTCCCGGTTAGCACAATCCTACCTCATCTGTACCACCACGTTCCTCCCTGTGGATCGTACAAAGTGGGAGAAACTGAACGGCTGACAAGCGGCTTCCGTAGGCAAAAAATAAGTGGATCTCATCAGCAGATGGGGGTCCTATTTACGATCTCTGCAGGTAGGTTGGGCAGGAGTGCTTCGAGGTCCCATGGTTGAACTAGTATAAGATTGACCCATCAGAAGCCCATTTTTGCGGTTTAGCTCGTTGTTCGCCTGTGACATCACTGATCTCAGTGACGTCACGGGCATTAACCAATCACCGAAATGCCATCAAACCAGTCGACCAATCAGGCATGGGAATGATGGGTTTGTTTACGTTTCTCGATCTACGTGACGTAACAAGAAAGCTGAACTGGAAGACGGAACTTCTCGTGGGTCAACCTTATATGATTCAACCATGCTAGGTCCTACCTTAGCAAACTCCCTGAACTTAGGCCGTAAACTGATCCATGTACTCACAGGAATGAGTTAAAGTCAGTTATATTTTGTCAAAATATCGATGAGCTTTTTGTACTTGAGCCTCATATTGACCCAGTTTGGCCCGTATCACTGCTACATCGGCTCTCTGCTCTTGCTATGGGTAAGAAAGTGTCACTCTTTGAACAATCTGATTCATTCATTTTTCCGAGTGGAGTGACGAACATCAACGGTATGCTTTACTATATTCGATTTTTTTTTTCAAGCGTTTATTTTCTACTGAAGAAGGACTTTCTTGCTAGTCTAACAACTCGAATGTTTGTGGTCTGAATTTTGTGCGCTCAAAATCAAAGCTTTATGTACTGGTAATTTGTTAAATCAACAATGGAAGTGAAAATTAAACATCTATTGCGAGTAGTTTGCAAAAAATCAAATGCGATAATTTTAATGCAACTTACTGAATTGAATAAAATTTCTCAGCCTTTGCATCCTAGACAAAGATGAGACCAAAAAATGTCCGCGTATAAATAAAATTTTATTAGGGAACTGACGAGCTCAAGAACTTGTGCCTCATTATAGAACTCGAGCTTAGCAGTTTCATCGAACCGTAATGTGCTCGTGTAGTCGGTAAGACGATATGAACAAGACAATTACGAACATTTACGCCAAAATAGCTGAAGAAAAGATCAAGTTTTTGTTAGGAAATTTGTGGAAGTGGCAATCAAGTTAACGGGTAAACATTTTCCGAAAAGAGATAAATTGGCATCTGCCTGGCTCTGTGGGCCAGGTAGACATTCACTGTGACCAGAGTGAATGTTGGAGATATGATAAAACACTTGTACCGTTTCATAAAAGTACACTTCGGAATAATTTTATGATCGTGATCTTCCACGAAAAACTGGCCAGGTTAGAATCGCAAGGAGAGGTTAATGGCTATCATAAACTCGGCTATGATATATTGACCTATCGTCATCTGAATTGGCTTTATAAGACGAATTATGCATAAACCCGATTGTCACTAACATTAACAACCATTGCATGTTCATAAGAAAATTGAAATTATTTTGATAAAGACAAATTTTTTGAATTTCACACCAACGCCCAAGGAAATATTCAAACAATTTACCAAGCCAGAAGTTTAACATCATGTGAACAAATTAGACCTTTATAAATGCTTGTTCTCACTCAAGTCAGCTCGGCTCCAAGTTTATGCTGTAGCGCTGATTTATGCAAATATATCCTGATGAAAATCGCGGTTCGGGATCCAGCGGACGATCAAGACAGTGCGTGCAGTAATGAGAAGCCAGCCATATATAATTTCATAAATGTGTTTTATTCTGAAAACTATGAAAATATTAACACTTCCAAATCTTACCGAGTATTTCGACGTATTAACATTAGGAATCAAATCGCAAAAAAAATTAATTGTTCGTAAATTCGGAGCGAGGAAAAAAAATGTTCACATGTGGTTCGCAGCTAAGTTGGTCGCAATTTTTTCTGCCAGAAGCTTGCAGTCTTTGGACTGGGCGATGTCCGTTAAATTTGCTACGGTAATTCTAGAATTTTGGAGGAGCGTTTTGGATCAAAACCAGAGTGGAGCAACTTTTTCTTCCTGCCTCCCGAGTCGTTAACTAGAGCTCTTTTACCAGTTCTTTTGATCGTTAATGCCCAAATTCGACGACAAAACGGTCAATTAAAAATTTATAGAGAATCTTGCGTTTGCGAATGTTTATTTTAATTTTAGAGTATTGATTCACGAGACATCATTTTATGTTAAAATTATAATCCTAAAGCAGAAATTACTTGCAAGCATGTATACGTATATAGAGAAAAGATACTAGAATTAGTACTTCATGTTTCTTTGTTTACAGAGAAGAAGAGTAGAACCGAGTCCAAGAAGAGAACAACAATGTGATAGACACACCAGCACTAATAACATAGATATAAACTAGCATAATTGCAAGAAAACGAATCATATCAATAATAAGTGCCGACAGAGAGAACCAAATTTCAGACGAGATCCTTCATCTTGACTGAACGCCTGACAGCATTGCTGTATCCTTCTTTGAAACGGAACCACACTGTACTCTTCACGATGTCGTTCGTAGCTGAAACGCAGATAAGAAAAAATGAAAATTAATGCAAATTAGAATGCTATTTGTAGATGTAACCGTTATGAAAATTTATGCAAATTTTAATGATTAACAGAAATGTGTGACCATACGATGAGCAATGAAGAGTAGTAGATGAACAAAAAAAATTAGAAATATAAAAAGGTATTTAGTTAGTGAAATGAAATCATTTTTAAATAAATGAATTGGATTTGATAGCACATACATCATATACAGTGTCCGCCATATTAATGGCAACGGATGTTTGCCATATAAAATAAATTGGTTTCTAGGAGACTTTTCTTTTATAATGAAGCTTAATATCTATTAATTCATCTATTTTATATTGCAGAATTCTAAGGTGTCTGCATTTACTATTACTTATGGGCTATGGCAGTAGATAAAAATGTAATTGCAACCTTCCATGAAAAGGACGAGAGTAATTCAGTCATTGCAAAAAAGCTCCAAATTCGTCGTGAAACTGTGTGGAAGGTGGTAAAAAAATTCAAGGAATCTGGTGAATCATGCAATCGACCTGCCGATCAGGTCAAGGAAGGAAACGAAGTGTCCGAACTTAACAATTGGTCAAAAACACGAGGGAGAAGTTGAGGAGAAACCCTCGTCGCTCATCTGCAAAATTGGCTGCAGAAGCAGGAGTCAGTCAGACATTAATGCGTGGAGTCCTCAAAGATGACCTCATAACCTCCCCTTACAAGATGCAAACAAGGCATGAACTAACAGGCCGTCATGAACGAATGAGGCTCGAAGGATGCCAGCACATTCTGGATCTCATTGAAGATGCACGCTGCCCAACTTGGTGTTCAGTGACGAGAAAACATTTGACGTTGAACAAAGCGTATACCATCAAAATGACAGAGTTTGGAGTCGAGATGGATCTGTGGCAACCAGAACAGCAACACGACGTCAAAATCCCATGTCCGTGATGGTTTGGGCCGCGGTAACCGCCACTGGGAGGTCCCCACTCGTTTTTCGTCCCCTCAGGATTGAAATTGAACAGTCAGCGATATATTTCGGACATTATGGAAGCTGTGTTACCTTGGGCCCGTAAACACTTCAACGGCTCACCATGGAGTTTTCAACAAGACTCTGCCCCATCACATGGCTCAAACATGACCCAAAACTAGATTCAGGGTCACATCGCAACGTTCATTAGCAAAAATGAACGGCCCTCAAGAAGCCCTGATTTGAATCCTCTCGACTTCACTGTATGGGCTCTTTTAGAGAGTAGGGTCTGCAGAACACCTCATGATTCTTTGGATAGTTTGAAGTCTAAATTGACACGGGAATGGGACTTGATCCCTCAAGAAATGCTGCGTGTCTCCTGTGAAGCTTTCCCGCGTAGATTGGAGGCCGTCATTAAAAATAAGGGTGGTCATATTGAATAAATATGTCTGAGAATTGTTTAGGTAATTCTTGGCTACTAGCTCATCCAATAAAAAAAAACAATGCACCTGTTTGTTTTATTGAGAAATAACAAAAAACAATCGTTGCCATAAATATGGCGGATACCCTACTGTACATTCATCACACTCACCATCTGATATAGTCAGTTGGCACCAAATAAACTTAATGTGTACGTCAAAGTCGGACCAGCAGCTTACCTTTATTTTGTTGCGACAAAGATGACTGCATGACACGACCGAAAAAATCCCGAGGCATCTGCAGAATGAAAGTAATTTACCGACCGGCATATAATACAACGATTTTATTTCAAGAAGATTACGAGATAAAATAATTTTTTTATATTTTAGAAGTAACTTACGAATACGTTTCTAAGACTATAAAATCGATGGGGTAAGATAGGTTTTCCATTAAGAGAGTTCATTTTTTTCATACAGAGCAAAGAGGCTGTTTCAGCATGGCAGGCTCATTCAGGTGGAGAACGGATATAATACTAGAAAAATACGCGACGTAAAAGTTCTTCCAGTAGCAATAACAAAAAGCTCCGAAATAATGTTGAGATCCTGCTCTCTAACATCGAATGATTAAAAGCAAATCTATGTGATATTTGGAGGAGAAAGGTTCAAGCGCAGGATGCTAGTAGTAATTAACCTTTCACTTTCAACAGTTGCGAAGATCATATTGCTTACTTTGGTTTCAGGAAGTTTTAGGAGTGGCTTGGCAACCAGTTTGCGGAGATGATTAGGAACACTTTCGTCGTCATTGCTGCCTTGACTACTGATTATTTCAGAAGCATCATCCTTTGCAACATCATCTCCGGGAGTAGATTTTGAAGGAATGTTAGCACAAAGTGATTTATTCTTTTGAAACAATGATTTCTTATCGGACCGCGCAGATGATTCCTCGCTGCAAACCATTGAATTATCACCAGGCAGAGCATCACAAGGATTTTTTACAAGGGGAGATGGTTTATCAACAGACTTATCAATGGCTGTTTGAATAGAATTTCGTTCACTGAAAAGTTTTTTCTCCTGTTGTTGTTGTGAGAAATATAATTCAGATCTTCTAACTTTCTCCATTTCAACTTCTCGTGCTACGAGTTGACGAGCAATGTAGCTAAGCTGACGATGGTTGACGTTACTGTTCAGCCGTACAACCTCTTCAATATTTGGTTCCATCACGAAGGAATATTGACCTTCCTTCGATCGCTCTTGTGTGTAGGTTAAATTATAAGCTATCATTGTGTCAATGACGCTGAGAAGCTCGGCTTTTTCCTTGGAGCTGTAGAGCTGCGTGTTGATGGGTCTGAAATTGGGTTGCAATATCGTACTTAAATACGGCAACACGTCCATCAGTAAAAGAGGTGCTGCTGCAAACACTCGGCTCGATGGGTTCATATGGTTCAGCAGTGACGTGATGAGAGTCTCGGTGCGCTGCTGCACAGCTGTCTGCTCTGTGTGCTGTACAGGGAATGTAATTTTTGGGCGCTGGTGGGAGGCAAAGTTTAGATGGAGAGACACAAAGACGTGAGGTAGGAAGCCTTGCAACATCCAGCTCTGGCTTTTCTGGATCTCTGTGCGCAGCATATCGAGGAAACAAGCCCAGTCCAGGCCAGCAGTAACCTGTAAACAATTTTATAAATCTATCATTAGACAAGAAATTAATTTTGCAAGCAAATGATAAACTTAATTCCATTGATATATAGTATGTGCAGTAAATTTTATTCATTTTTATGTCACGAGTGAATCACTTTTCCTTATTTATATAGAATTTACAAATTACAAATAATAATACAAAATAATAACAATGCTTCTTGTAACTTGTAAATGAATGCTTGTTGCATTCGAAACATCGCTAATAAATCAAAACAACTTCCTCAAACATGCCTTTCGATCTACCAACGTCATCTGAAGAATTGTTGTACTCTGATAATTTAAATCAACGAATTCTCTGGTCATTAATCGTACGTGTATAAACAAGCAAATTCTGCCATCCAATACTAATTTACAAATATTAGCTAATTTTGTAGCAAAAAGAAAAATACCAACTAGAAAACTTTCTCGACTTTCTAAAATAACTACGATAGTAACTCTGGCGTAATCTAGAACATCACTCACAGGTTCTAAATGCGTATGCTTGAATTTACAAGTAGGATAGTTCTCAAACCACCCTTGAAGTATCTTCTCATATTCTGAACAAGACATGGCAGACTGCAAGACTTCTCGGTACCGGTCAGAAAGTGTCACGATGGTGCTTGTTGTACTTGTTGTTGCGGTGCTGCACAATGTTGTGCTAGAGTCCGCTAGGGTAGAGTTAGAAACTCTACGGTCGGTGGTAGGGCTTGGTAGATTGTGAGGATTTACATGTCTAGCTCTGAAACAGTTATATACTCATATTAAAGAATGGAAGCTTCACTAAAATACCTACATGAACTTCAAACAAAATGTTAAGTCATAAAAATATACTTCAGTATATGCTTGCTCAAGAATACACAGCTTTCAGCAATTTGAATCTCAAAACATTATAAGTACAATGCCCATCATTTTACGCGGATTAAATGGAAGCAACTGACTTGGCAGGACGAGGTATGGAGAAGATGTTATTCCAGACGCTGAAGAGCGATTGCTGGTAATCCTTCTGCCCAACGGCAGCACCTTCAATGTCGGACAACTTCAGAGCACCGCGTTTGCTCCTAAGGATATAATAATCAGAGGATTAGTGTAATCAAATTCTACAAGAACAAAATGAAATAATCAATAGTATACGAGACCACTATGTGAACATAGTTAAAGTTATGACAAGCTCTATGCACACAGATACCATAAACTCGATGTAGAAATGAGGTGGAAAATTTTTAAAATTCTAAAAATAAGGCAAAAAACGAAAAATTTCTCAGTGCATAAGCTGCAATGACCATCACTTACTTGACAAACTGCAGTAGTGCCAGGCAAGACCTGATGTCGTTGCGAGTCTTATGCGCGAGAGTTAAAAGCGCTGTAAGATCCGTGCTGAGACCGCGCTCGTTGCAAATCTCTTGCAGGCGTTGAGCGAGCCTGGACACATATAATAAATACTACGTCAGACGTATACCTTAATTTTTGTTTACATCAACAGGCTCCTGACAGGCTGTCACGGACATCAAGGTCTTTGAACCAGAGGCAATCGATGGTTTAAATCTGGCAATGTGGTAAGATCATATGGTTAACATTTAACCAAAATTTAAATATTAAACGGAGTGTAAAATATCATTTTAAATAGAAACCAAGTTCCAATTGCCAAAAGAATACGAAAATAAACGTCAGTAAAAGCTCCGTGTCTTAATGTTATTCAGTCCAGGATTATGACAAGCCACACATGGCACAATTTCACAGACCATACAACGAGCTCTAGATGATAACCTACTTGGTTGAGAGGGTCGGAGGGAACGTAACCACAAGAGCCAGGGGCTTGAGAGGCCGCAGGGCTGTCACGAAGGGGTCGTTGCAGATGGCGATTACTGGCCGCTGTAGGATGAAAATTTTCTGTTTGGTTCCTTTCTTGCTTGGGGCGTTGCCGCCCAAACCCTTGCCGGAGATGAGGTTCACCAAGAGTTTGATGGAAGGCTGCAACAGAAATCATGGCAAATTTGGGATGAATTATTTGGGATGAATTATTTAAGTACAAAAAGCAGCCTGGCACTGGAGGTTCTGGCAGATATCAAAATTATCGAGTTTAATGGGTTTATATTCATATTGATATAATGTGTATTGAAAATAATAGAAATACTAATATGTTATTGTAGTAATATTATGATCATATTACAATTTTACATTTTAATTTAGTCATATTAATATTTCTCTTAACACATTAATAGTAACGTGTTTTAACAAGTTGTGAAAACACATCAATAAATCAATATATCGTAATCCAGGAGTAAATCAAACATTTGATACTATATTACTAATTCTTAAGCTTGTGCAGTAGAAATCTCACAATTGAAAAGTCTTAGAGGGTTAGTTAATAGGTCCAAATTACCATTGAATGTAAATTTGAAAAATAATAATTCTATTGTGAAAATTCTCACCGCAGGCGCGCCATCAATTTCATCAATAATGAGACAGTTTGGTCGCTTGTCCACATCCAAGACGGACCGCATGCTTGTTGCGTTCTCAATACTTGAACGAAAAGCATCGACTGATCTGAAAGCATAAGATAAATATCAACTAACAATATATATACATGAATGTTCAAAGCTTATAACCATAGACAAATCGAAACTACCCCTGAAGCATGACAGAGAACACCAAAATTTACGTTTCTTTCTCTTGTTACAATTCCTTACTATTTTATCACTAAGAATAAATTTTCTGATCCAGGTAATATACACACACGTAAAGTATTGTGGATACTCGCTCAAAAAAACCCAATATTTTTTGCTGGGCCAGGCTTCAAACACGAACAAAAACTTCAACATAATTATATAAAATACAGATCTTTTGGGGAGCGAGTTTACTGAGATTCCAAACCTCATAAGAGTTCTGTCCATCAACACACAGACGGAATATCATTGAGCCAACTATGACAGAAGTGACCAATCTATGACAGAAGTGGCCCATCTATAACGCTAACCTATCGTCGCTGGCATTGAGCTCGACAGGCCTGTATCCCGCATGTCTGGCAATGATGTGAGCAAGTGTGGTCTTGCCGAGACCAGGAGCACCGCAGAGCAGCAGCAGCTTCTGCACTGGTCGGCCGTCTGCTTCGAGTTCCTCGTTGAGATTGGGCAAGAGAATTGGCTGGCGGTACTGGGACTTGCCGAACTTGTTTTCTGTTTAGGATACTGAGTGTTTATGGTTTATACTCCCTTCACACCTTCCAAATTAGGGCAGTTAAATTTGTTTAAACGGAGTCTATTTTACATTTTAAAGCAAAAAAATATAAATAGCAGAAATGAATCACTGCGGCTAATAAATGTTAAGGGTTATGATTTTCAGTTCACTACAGCATTTAAATAGGAGAATGACAAATTATTAAATAAATCCCATTTCAATGATGACTAGAGGAGTGAAAGAATTAAACTTAGGGACATTTATAGTCTAATGAAATATTCAATTTTACCTCTCCAATTTTCTCTCTTGACTGCGGCCTGCTCATTGGGTTTGCGAGGCTTCTTCTCTTTGCCAAAGACGAATTTATCCCAGAGTTTGATCCAGTGCAACACTGATCGATTAGTCATCTGCACCACAATAACATTTGAGATAAGAATAAATTTATTTTTAATTTCATTATTATTAAACAAATTTTTCCCTTCATGAAAATTGTGCGCACCTAGAAGACAATCTGAAAATTTCTTGTGCAACTGCAGTAGTCGTCCTCGATTTAACTTTCATAAAACAAATATTCTTCGAGTTGTAAAATCATTTTATGGAAATAGTTATTCATTTTTGGGTAAATTTATCAAGATGGAAAATATAGCAACTCTAGCCTTAAAGGTTTAGTTGGTGGCGATCAGAATCCTGGAACATAATAATAGGTGCTAATAATTCCAAATAAAATTGCCCAATGTAACAAAGTATGCAATGAATATTTAATGAGTTTAAATACATTCGCATTAGGTATTCAAGATCAGGGTAATGATGGAGAATCAAGTGCTTATGATTTCGGTCAAAAATCCTCTTAATGAATTTTCTGAGAGGAATTCGAACCTCATCACTCAGGAGATGCAGATAATGTGTAGGCTTGTAGACTTCGGTCCAGAGGGAAGACTCATCATCAACATCCTCTTCTTGTTCCTGAGCATCCAACTCGCTTGTTGTTTGGTTAAGTTCAGTTGAACGCACTACACGTTCAGCTTGCCGATGTAGCTGCAAAAATAAATTTCAATTAGATGCGAATTAATAATATCTTAAAGGAAGGATGGGAAAAATGTTTCATCTCATTAAACTTTGGAGGAATCAAAACAATAATCATTAATCAAAACTCATGACTCACAGGGTGTTCTTTGATAAGAATATAAATAACTTCCGAAAGCATTAACTTTAAATTAGAATAAATTAAAACCGTTTTCACCATTTTATTTACCGTTTGATTGTAAAACAAATTTCAATGGCTATAGAACTTATACCTCAGCTTGTGCAGCCTCTTTTAGCTGTGAGAACGGAACTTGAAGCAATTGTTTGATGTGAGAAGAACTGTTTTCTGGACACCGAGCAAGAGTGAGCCTCTGTCCTGCCTTAAGAAAGTCTTCATCTTCATCTAATGAGAGATAAATTCGGTCGCCGTCATTGCTGGTGACGGCCTGAAAACCACCCTCAGGGAGACGAAAGTGGATGGTACACGAACGTATGTCACTGCAAATTAAAATATCATTATGAATATGCAAAATTTCAAAATTAATACAAACATTGTGATGCATACTTTATTTTAAAAATAAGGCACAAAATAATTTTCCATTTCCAAATGCATATAAACATGAATCTTTGCACAAAAATAAACTAAACTAAGATGGGAGGAAGAAGCAAAGCATTAAAATGTGAATGTTTAAAAAAGTATGTAAATAAATTTACAAAAAATAATATGTAAATAAAATAAAATATGTTGTGAATGTTATAAGACCAGCATCAAATTTGGAGGCAGAGTTTATGCATGATATTGAGAAAGTACTTCACTAGCTCAAGTGAGACAGAGAGGCACAGCTCACCGCGGCTTGTTAATGATGGCATTGGAGCCTACAGCCCCCTTGTCTATCAATGCCTGCTGCAGCAGACGTTCTCTGTGACGCACAATGCGTTTTATAATAGCTATGTCAGGGTCTGCAGATGATGAATGACTGTTGGTGTGAGTCTGATCCACTAAACCCCGAACAATGGGTAGGAGTGGCTTTCTTCGCTTGTTATTTCCTGTTGAAAAAATATCACCTTACTTTGCAACAATTTAACCAATGGTAATTATTTGCAATTCATTGTGTTAAATTAAATACTTCTAACAAATTTTGAGAATATTTTCAATTTTGTTCACTGTCTAAGCCAAATGTGAAGGAAAAATTACAAATGTTTGGCTACTTCACTCATGTTCTTATTTTTGTCACTCATAATTTGGTTGAGTAATAATTTTCAACAAAATTTCTATGACCACTGCATATGTTAAACATCTAATGGTGATAGCTCTAGTTAATGAGGCTCAAGATAGAAACAGCATTGAGAATGAACGGTTCATGCATCCATAGGCAATGCAATGCAATGTCCGTTTCTACTGGGTATTTACTACAAGTTCTTCAGACTAACAAAGATTCAAATTTGCCAACCCACTATGACATACGAAGACCAACGCAATGGCAACATCATGTTGCTTGCTCAAACACTGTACTCAATAACAGGTAACAACCCAGCTCACCCACTGCTTAAATCTGACTTGAGTCTCTCTTCAGTCAGCCTGGCTTTTCCTCCTGCTGCACAAGAAGACTAGGAAGAGCTCACCAGAAACTTTTTCTTAGCTACAGCTGCTACACTGACACTTGAAATTCCTTAGTAAACTATCTGCACCCCCTTAGGCCATCCACCCAAATAAATTATAAATGTAAGGCTCTGTCTCCTCTGCCAGCCACACTCATCAAACATTTAACCTCTTCTCCTTACGCTGTTCTTTCCCTCGTTCTGCTCTTGCCCAGAGACAAGTTTCAGTCTTGGTCTCTTGGAGCAAAACTTCTAAGCAAAGAACTCCATCATACAACTCTTCATCACACAGTCCTTTCAGTAGAGTCATGGAACCAACACACCCCAGCTTCTGGCTTACACTGAGGGTGCTTTTGTCCCTGTTTAATGCAAGAGTTGAAAGATTTTCCCACCAAACACATGACAAACTAATCAACACAGTCAAACTAATTATTTACAGCATTCCATCACCCCAGCCCAACATCTTTACCGCTGATTTATCATGACACATTTTCACAGACAAGAAGCACAAAAGGCTATCACACTTATTGACTAGTTTTTAAAACACTAACAGTTTATATTAATGCTTAGTTTTTACTAGCCAAATATTTAACTGAAACTGAACTGAACTGAAGCTTAGCCATTAAAATTCCTAACATTAAAAATTACTGAAAAATTAGACACTAAAACAATGGACTTTACTTGAATTATAAGTTGACTTTTCTGCCCAATCAGTGATACTGTCAGAACCAGATGTGTCTTCATCATCTAAAATCAAACGCCGTTTGGCACTCCGGTTCTCCAGCAAGCTGCCATTAGGGAGAACTGAAAGCAAACCAAACTGATCAGTCATAGAGTTAAAACATGCTTCAGTGCCACACACAGGTTGAGTTAGTGGCATCAGTTTGAGAAAAATTTTTATTATACAAAAATATTTGACCTAAATAGTTATTCCAGACTAAGATATCCATAGAAAATAAATTTTACTAGCAAATATCAGAAGAAATTAGCAGTAAATATTAGATAAAGACTTAAAGAGAAACAGAATTGAATGGAAAAATAAAAAATTATACAATCAAAAAATTTGATTGTCAGGCATTAAATGATAATAGGAAGACTAAACTCTTCTTAACATCAAAATATTTTGAAGTGAGCAGAAATTTTGTAATAACAGTTCATTATGTAGGTATATGTTAACCTGATGCATTTGGCTGAGAAAGTACAGCAAATGGGTCAATTGGGACAGGTGAAACTCTGCCAGATGCTGAAGATTGGACAGTTGACTGTGAGGAACCATTGAATACACAAGGCCCATCTGAAACACAAACATATAAAGAGAGATTTGAAATGAAATATATAAAAATTTCTATATGCATGAAAATAGGAATTTTATTTAGGTTTTTACATCACTGAAAGGCATTAACTAAATATTCACTTCTGTACTGCTGAAGAGGATTATAGATTTATGGTGAAGAGGATAGATACATTATTAATATTATTATTCAGATTGCTTTCAGAAATCTATGCTACCTTTAACTGGAGCCAAGAACAATTCAAATGGATTCAAAACATTGTGTGACATGTGGTAACAGTATTTCTAATCAATGCTGCTCGGTCTGGCATATCAGACAGAAATTTTAAAAATCACAAGTAAGAAAGATCATTTCACAAACAATTTTCAAAAATAGCTGGTAAAAATGAGCCCTTTCTATAAATTTCTAATGAAGAAATTAGTCAAGGGCTACAGGAACAGGTAAATTGACCATGTGCACAGGCGTTTTTGTGTCATTCGCAATAACTTCTGCTCAATTTTTCTCTTTCAAATACTGTTTTCACAAAAAATTGTTCATACAATATATAAATATATATTATAAGTATTTGCAACAACATTAATTAAAAAAAATAATTTTACATTTGATTAAACTACAGAACCTGACAAATTTACCGAGTTGGTCCTCTCTTTATAGCATTTGATATCACAAAAATCTTGCAGCCCTAAAGTGATAGATTTTCACCAACTTTTGAAGCTCACAGCCTAATCCTGCACTTTTATTAACAATTATGTAGGAAGGATCTAGCAAGAATGTTGCAGTTACAAAAATAGCAACAAAGCTCTAGTTATTGCTCAAAAGGTAGACATATTCCACATCTGTCTTTTGTGTTAATGCCCATAGGCCATGAGCTATCATCATTTCCTCAATCATTAGTTTTACAAACACATTTCACTTAACACTGGATGCCTTTACCTTGCATTTGTGATGAGGCTGCTTCATTCTCCATTTCCTTCATCATCTCCATTTCTGCTGCATGAAGCATCTCAAATTCATCTTCAGCATCAGCAGGAAAAAAATTGTCCATGACTGGTGAACCTTGTGGCCTTTTGGCTCACTTTACTAAAGCCTTTTGAGAATTGTCTCAATCTGCTTAACTGTTGATGGATTTAGAGTATTGTTTCTTTGAATTTGATCCACTTAAAATTTCAATCCTGCCAGCAGTACAGTTAATATTTAGTTAAAAATTAACTATTTAATTAGTTAGGTTAATATTTAGTTAATGCCTTTTGAAGTTCAATCAGATAACCTAGCTACCGGTACCCAGTTTACACTAAGCTACAGTTGATGAGAGGTAGTGAAATGACAAACATTGACAAAGTTATAAACATATATTACTGTTATTTACACAATATTTATTACTTCAATACCCTAAGATAATCAAGACAAATTTCTTCCATCTATTTGTCTTAGTTCATGTGGCAGACAAAAATTTTCCAGTTATCCATGTAATAAATTTAGTTAAGTAATAAATTTAGTTAAGTAATAAATTTAGTTAAGTAATAAATGAAGTCCTTATCAATTATTTTAATAACCAATGTCTATGATGCAAGAGTATTTTTATAGTTGGGGTTGTCATTGTTGTTGTCCTATAAGTAGATCAGTAAAGTATATATCATTGATATCAGAATTATCATACATATGATATTGGTTTTAGGCTGGTGGTCACAGTGCGGTGAAGTCTGAGAGCAAGGTATTCGCAACCAGAGTGTGAAACCCTTGATCTGCCCTAAGCTTGGTCTGTCACTACCCTCGAGCTAGTAGTCTTTGTAATAGGATATCCCAGCCGGCTTCTTTCTTGCAGTAACTGGCGGCTTTCAGGTGGTCAAAGAATGGCCAGCGGTCAGCTATCACTAATTGGACAAGGCAAACCACTGGCCACATATTATTCATCACCCCTCGTTGAGTTTGCCTTCACCATGCCACCTGTTTGTGGACTAACAGCTCAGTAATTCACAACATCTCTTTCCCCTTGTACCTTCCACAAAGCCTCCATCAAAACAGTTAATAGATGAGTTTTTTTCCTCCACATATCATGAATATCAGCATGCTTGTTCATAACTATTTTTTGGTAGATAATATCTACAACAAGGAGGCTGATCAAGAAATGCCAAGTATACCATCAAACGGGGTAAACAGGGACAGTTTTGAGTATTTTTGTTAATAATTTCTTACCACAAAACATTTTACAAACAAGTTTAGGCTCATTTTATAGCTCTTTGTGAGGGCTATTGAAGGGCATCTCCAAAAAAGTTCCATATGCTATTTGTAAGGTGCTAGACGCAATATAAAGGGCTTATGAATTTATCTGGAAACGGGTAAAAAGGGACACTTAAAATAAAAATCAATTTTAAATGTTTGAAGTGTGCAGAGCTAGTATGGAATATATCTACTTGGCGAGCCGTGACTGAATTTTTTGACATTCGAGCCGCGAGATTTCATACCTACTGAAATTATATGATATTAGAGCCGCAATATTTCAGACAAAAATAGGACTTTTCCAGACTAGGTGCAGAGTGTACCATCAACCGGGGCTACTCGGGACAGGCGGGGTAACTCAGGAGTCAGGACAGTCCTCCAACATGGCGTAAAACTGTTTTAGTAGCAAAACTAATTGGAATATTGCAATACTAAATATAGTGGCGTAAACATCAACATTTTTCCTATCTATATAGTATAAAGGAAGTTCAAAAATATTACATTTGATAGCTTTGAAAAATTCCTGAAAAAATGGTGAAAAACGATATTTTGAAAAGCTACTTCTGCTAAAGTCTGTAGGGTAAACGCGGTATATTCCGACACTTTAGGGACGCATCGAGAAATGAAAAACTATAAAAAGAAAACCGTATGCATTACGTAAGTTCTGTTGCTTTCACATGACTCTCAAAACACTTCACTACGCGTCAGCAACGATGAAACGTCACAAAATGTTGCCATATTTATTAAAAAGCCTTTAGAATGGAAACCTACCAAATCCCTATATTCCTGTCTCTTATACACATCTAGATGTGTATAAGAGACAGGGCCAAGACCTAGTGTTTTTGCAGTATTTCGACACGCAAATGTATGACGTCACCATTTCAACCATCAATGAACGCATGGAACTAAAACAAAGCTTAATATAAAGGAAAAACTAGAGAAGTGATGGAATTACCTACGATGTCGGAATATACCGCGTTTACCCTAGTAAAAAAATATTTGCTATATTAAAAAATTTTGCTTGGAAAAAAGTGGCAGACAAGTGTCAGCATGACAACTTTATCTGCGGAATTTACATACCTCAATCCAAAAAAAATGCCGGCCATTTCTGCATGGCATGATCAAGATGGCGGGGCAACTCGGGACACCCCCCGCCCCCAGCCCCCGGGGCTTTCAGGACACCCCCAAAAACACATTTACAGTAGAACCTCAGCAAAGGCTCCAGTTAAGAAAAAAATTGATTAAAAACAAAGAATATTGATTACATTTATCTTGCTCAGCGAAAAAATTTTCACTTATCGAAAAATTAGTGCCTCGGTTATCAGTCATCACAAAATTGTGCATAGAATGTCATATATAGAATTGTGCACCAGGCATCATAGAATGAAAAGTAATTGACCTAAACTATGATGCATTTCTCCAAAACAAAACCAAACAAAACGGAAAGGATGAAAAATATGCTGGTCTTGGGCAATGCTGGCCTCTGACATGCATGATCCCGGTCCAATGCCGTGTCGACTGTCGGGTGGCGGCAAACTCTAGTCTGTGGGACTTACGGCAAAGCCACGGTCGCAGTATGGGTTCTTCCATGATATTTACTGCACAAAAAAGTTCCCTTCAGGAGGCAACTGATACATTAATTCCTCAAAGCACAGGGTTGGACGGCAATCCAATTATTTGGAATTCGCGGGAAACCCGTATGAACGTGGATCACCGATCACAATGAATTTGTCGCCCTGATACGTCGCTACTACGCCTAGGTAGACTGCAGAGACAGAAATGTACAGTTAGAAATGATCCCATGGTTTGATCGTCACATGAACGAATTTAGAGGATCGCCTATAAGAAGAGGATGAAAAGAAACCTGAAAATTTGAATATCATGGCTAAGAAACACATAAGGTTTTGATTGAATGTACAAACTTCTTTGTATGTAAAAGTTAACTTAGGAAAGTTTCAAGCAAGGACTTAGTTATTAGGCTAGAGTGCCGCTAGTCCAACGCTAGCCTGAGCTTGTGCGCACAACGCTAATTGTAACACATGCATAATCAGCCTGACAAAGGCAAACAAACTGTTAATTGCGCTGTTACTGTTGACTTTTACAATACTTTGCATTCCCTTATCAATTTTGTCAACTTATCCTCTTTCGAGCATATAAAATTATAACTTATCCTTCTTATGTGGCAGGGAGCCCAGTTGTTAAGTTCAGAGTATCAAGATTGGAGCAGAGCGATGAGGGTTCGATCCCAGCTCTGCGCGACACTTTCTGGTCAGAATCGGCAAGGAGGCCGAGCGGTTAAGCACAGCAGAATTGAAGCAGTAAGTTGTGTGTTCGAGACCACATAAAGCTGTGAATGTTCTGCGATGTTTAAGAATCGGTGACAGACCTACGGCATAATAAACGCTGAAACCGCTACTGTTATTATTTTTCTTTCTGTCATATATTACTAAGGAGAGCATTTTAGTAACGTTGTGTCATGCTAACTACTGTGACCCCGAATTACTGTCATGCTTAATGCACTTATTGTAAATCTTGAAAATCGCTTCCGTTACATGGCAATACATTATCTATATTTTTCCCAAGTGAAATTATTCCCAGTTCTCTGTTTATAAACTACACGTTACATTATATACAATATACACATTAAATGGGCAAGCATTGTGGCAGTACTGCGGCAACTGGCAACTTGTGCGCTTTCAAAAGACGAGAGTATCAAGTTTTGAGGCGATGCTTAAAGAGGGCCTCAAGTTTTACATTGAAGTTCCAATTAATTTTTCGAGCCACCTACCAGACTGATTGTCCGTATAACATTAGTCTTATAAGAAGATCACATAACATAGCGAAGTCAGCGCTGAAGAGTAGGCCTGATGTGGCCTGTCGCCGATTCTAGTACTTTTCGTGACTTGTTCCCAGAATATCTAAAATCGTGTCATTTGACCAGATCTTTTCAGAACTGACGATAATTTGGAATTGCTACTAGACTTCAACCAGGTTCGATATGGTACTAGGCACTTCGAGTCTGACATATATATTTTTCCATAGCTTTATCTAGTCTGTTCTTGAACGCGTTCATACTCGGAGCGCCAACGATGTAATCGGGGAGGCTGTTCCACATGTAGGTGATTCGAAGCGAGAAGAAATTGGTAGTTTTAAAAAAGTTGTTCAATTAATTTTGAATAAATTTCCCAAATGCATATCAATTTGCTTCAATGATCATGCGCATGAAAGAAATTTTAAAATAAAAAAAATCGAATAAAATAAATACAAATTTCGGCCCAGCAAGAGGTATCAATCTTGGCACATAAAATACATTCAACACATCATTCAATAGTTAGTCCTCTAAATTCCAATATGCTATGTAAAATGAGAGGATATTTAACCTATTTTCATAATATGTAGCGTTATAATTAAGTATTCAGTCAATTCGTTGAGTTGAATAAACTTTAACATTTAGTGACAAATTTCGGTTTAAAAAACAGTTGTTCTGCTCGTGTATTTGTTGGATCTTGAGAGCTGTACGGCAAACTACGGGATCCGCCACCTGCTCAGAGGTAATTACAAATAACTGAAACGACAGTTAACGGTAGGAAACTGATAAATACGGTAGGAAATAAGATAAATAATTAATTCGAGACCTTAAGAACTGGTCCACTGCGGGCAAAACTTATGCAAATAAATCAAGAAAATATGAATTTCAACCACAAATCAAAATTCTGTAATTCTCAAAAAAAATCGTAGTCTTAGAAACAATTTAGCATTAATATAGCTACAACGTTCTGACAAACAGGGCACTCCTAATGTAATAGAACAGTAGTTCAAGCACCAGCAAATATAGACCTAACAAATCAAAAAACATTTTGAAGCTCAATACCTTAATTATATCCCAACAAATGTCAGTCTCTCCTCTTCCTTTTCTTGGATTTCTTGCCGTTGGAATCCATGAGGTCACTTTCATTTATCAAACTCTTCTGATCTTTGTCATCATCGCTTCTCTCTATCTTTGTCTCTGTGAGCTCCTTGAAATCAACTGCATCACCATTTGCTTCATGTCCTCGCTTTCTCTTCTTTTTGGTGCGAGTTTCACTTGGTGTCATCGAGTCTTGAGATGCATTCAACTCACACGAGATATCAGGTGAAGGATTTTCTTGTTTCATGTTTTTGAGAAACGGGACTGGAGTAGAGACATCTTTATTGGGGGAATCTTGCTTCTGCCTCTCCTTCTTATGACTCTTAGAGAAGCTGCGTGATACACTAGAATCGGACAGCTGACTACACAGGTCGCCTGATGAATAACCTTCCTCATGGGACGTCAGACAGTCTGAATCGGTTGCGCCACTGAAATAATTTTGGTCGTGAAATTAGGAAGGTGTTATTAAATTGATACCAGAATTCAAAATCTCATGAGTGACACTGAGGCCTGAACTGATTTACATATTGCTGATTTACAGCAATACCTATGCTTCAAAACATCATCTTTTATTTTTTTAGAGCAGTAATGTTTTAGAGCTTTAATATTTTTAGAGCATTAATATTTTAAAATTGCAACAAGATTTAAATGAAATTAAATAAACATCTCATTTTATAGGTGCTACAATAATATACAGCCAGGCTGAAATATACCTGCGTGGATGCAGTGCATTTTTTAATTCATTTAAAAAATATGAACGGAATTTGAATAAGAAAAATGCCCACCTGCTGAAGTCCCCATCTTCATGGAAACGAACTCGTTTTTTGTTGGCATCAGATAAAGGCTGCAAGTTACTAGCATCCAGTATGGAAACATCAAACCTGCACATTACAGAAATAAATTTTTATAGCCTAGTCAATACACAACAAAACTACATCAAACACAAAATGACATAAAACAGCATACAAACAAGTATATCTTCTAAAACTTCATGACAGTGATGAAGGCAGTGATTCAACAGCTAGCTTGTTTTTCCTTCAAACAATTTTAAGAGAAAAATAATTGGAAATTAACCTCAACTTATCACTTTCAATACATACCATAAAAATTTGTACAGTATAAAATGGAAAATCTGAACTCACTGCATTAAATCTAATGTAAAGTGTCCATAAAAAAAAAACAACAAAAAAGTAACACAATAATTTTTATCAACTTTATCTCTCACCCATCAGGCACTGGATGCCCCAGTAATTGGGGAAGGAAGTCTCTGAGACCAACTTCTTGTAAGAGTAGAGTACAACGAGTGCCTTCAATCAAACTGAGATCCTGCAGGTGCTTCAAGACTGACTTGAGGCTCTGATAGGCTTCTGATTTCTTCATACATGACCTCTGGAGTTGAAGTTCTTGCTTCACTTGATGAATGCGATAGATGATGTTGTACTTGTTGTAGGCCAAGAAACTCACCATGTGTGGAGTGACTTTGTTTACAACACCTGTAAATATTACTTGCTTGAAGTTCACTTTTCATATTTTATCAGTTAATTTATCAAAAGTATTTTCAGGCAAAAGTGAAATAATAAAAACAACAAGAAGATAAATCAATATGATTGCACCATGAGAAAACAATATTCAATTTGATAGCCTTTATATAGCCATAACATAAAAAAAACAGTAATATTTACCTTCAATTAGCAGTCCTTTGGTTGGAGCAAATACATAAAATACAGCACTAATAGACAGATGTACATAAGGATTTGTTGAGTAAAGCTGTCCAGATCCAGAGAAGACTTTAACATCTTCATACCCTAGGATGAGCCCTCCTAACCTAGTGAGAGAAAAAAAAATAATTTATGTTATTCCATTGAGTTAAAATTATATAAAAGCTGTCACAGAAAAATTAAATCTACATTTACATTTGTAGCGCATTCTCTCATTTATGGAAAAAGGCCATATTGTGCTCATCATGTCCGTTGGTCTATCCGTCTATCTGTGACTTCACATTTTTGTTGAATTTGAGAAAATGTGCTCTCTGTCACTCACTGCAGTGAGTACTGAATTATATTTTTTTAAATATCCAAAATCCCAAATGAACTTAGCTACAAAATGAACTTAGCTGAATGAATGAACTTAGCTACAAAATGTAAATACCTGAAGGTGGAGTAGTGATATTCCAGTGAAATTTTAAACTCTCTTAGTTCTGGATCCAGCAATTGATGATAAAGCATTTTGTTCAATATAGAACCCAATGTGAGTTAAATTATTATTAAAATATGGTGCAAAAAAATGACTGATTATATATTACCAAGTTAATGATGATTCTTTAGGAAAAACTACATCAAGTTGTTGGTAAGAACAATTTGTTCACTTAATACCTTTTTTGAATAGGTACCACCCATTGATAGGATTATAAATGAACAGGAACAAATCTAATTTTCATATTGAAAAGCAAGAACAAAAAAATCAAAAACGGAACTTAATAGCTTGGACAAAATTAATTTGATGTTGCAAATAACACCTAAGCATCCAAGTAGCCAGCCTTCAATAGAAAAACTCTACTTTGTAAACAAAACTAAAGCACAACTTCCCTGCAAGACCAAATAGCTTTATAATTATAATGTAGTAATCTAACTCAATAATTTGTAGTTCTGAGAGCATTATACAATTTTCACTGACAAGTTGCAAAGTAAGGTTAGTACCTGCTAAGTTTGCTTAGCAATTGAAAAACATGCTACAGTTTTCAAATGTGTAAAATATTTTAACAAGTTGCCAGGCAATTTTAGAAAATATTATTCCAAATTATATTTTTTTTAATTCCATGATTTTATACTTACCCACACCTAGTATTAATTTGATGTTGGTTAGTACCTATATAGGTTTTATTAGTGCTACATGTTTTAAGTTTACTTTTTTAGCAACCTAGTGTCTGAAGTTGTTTGGGTAGCTAGTATAATAGTATGAATTTATTGATATTATGTTTTCTTTTCATTATCTCATTATCATTTAATAGAATATTGGACTGCCTTTTTTCCTGTCCAATTGTTGCCTGTAAAGTGGTTTGGCTTGTATGGGCATTCAGTAGGAAATATTTTTTTGTCACTTCTCTGATCCTTCTGTTCATTTGTTATATGTTGTGTTCCAGTGTAAATGAAGAATAAGACAAGGTAGCATCTTATGAGTAATAATAATTGACATTAGAAGAATTATTTTTAAAATTCTAGCTCAATTTTTTAATAGCCTAAGTGGTATAGTAGTTGCATACCTTTATATTGAGTTTACATGCACCAAACCAGTATTAGAATTTTCCCATCTGTTACTGAAATCTCCCAGCTCAAAGGAGAAGTCTGATCATGCACTTTTCTCCCAGCTCAAAGGTACAGCCTGATCATGCACTTTTATTAAAAATTAGACAGGAGGTAATTCATTCAGCAGAAATCTTGAGGTTCCAAAAATAGCACAAATTCTTGCAGCTCATGTGGTAGATATATCCAGTTTCCCTCAAAATATTAAAAGAATTAATGACATAACTGTATAGGAGAATATTTTTCAAAGCCCTATTTTCCTCTAATTTATTTTTGTGTCCTATAAACAGACAAGGATGTATTTCAAATAGCAGCATTATCATACAGGGTGACACAAAAAAAACAGAGCTCATAAAAAGTTGAATAATTTCCACAATACTCAAGTAATCCTGTTATTTGTTTCAGATTCATTAAGAAGACGGATTGATCTAAGAGTCTACCACGTGTGAGCTTCGAGATGCCTTGGACTACAGAGCAAAATATAATTCCATAGAATTTTTGTTTCAAACTGAATAAAATTTCAGGAGTTATAAGACTTTTAGTGAGCTCTGTTTTTTTTGTGTCACCCTGTAAATAAAAAATTGATTAACACGTTGACTCTGATTGCTTCACCTTGTACTATTATTTCATTTTTTATACTGTTTTTAAACAGGGTTGCCAGATGGTAATTTTTCCGGACAAATTCCGCAATTTAGTTTTCCTCAATTTTTGTTGGCCGTCTAAAATTTATGATAGTAGTAGTTCCTAATTAAATTTTAAATACTGCAAAAAGAAAATAAATGCAATTTTATAGCAAAAACTACAAATAAACTAGTATATATTGAGTTATCGGCCTTTTTTGGCATTTTTTGTTCTCAGATTTGGCCATAGATTTTAGGTAATCCGAATTCTGTACGCTGTACCACTACGTCCTGGAGAAATACATTTTGTAGTATGCATAGGCTATGTACCACTTCGGAATCAATGTGTTAAAATATTAAGTAGACGAGAAAATTAGAAATGAACTGATTCTAAACATTTCTGCTTTGCCACTATAACTGCTGGGAGCGAGAATTAACAATCATTCATTATCATTGTAAAGTTTGGACTGTATTATTTTTAATTAACAATATATAGCATGAAATCACAGATTTTTTTTAAATCAGTTCATTTTTAATCTCCTCATATTCCAGATTTAAATCAATATTTTCAAGTTGAAAAAATTCTGGTATCCAACATTCATACTTTTCTTTTTTCTACCGGTCTACTGTCTACATATAGCCTACTGATTATCCAGGCTGTAGAGTAGGGCCTTTTAGCTCGAGATATCGGCGTCTTTTCAAGCTCTCCATCAGCCACATCGACCTTAAATTGGCGTCCATGGCC